TATATATAGAGGTAGAATCTTTTGACACTGACATCTCATCTGAGAGCCATTATATCAAAAAAGATCAATGGTGTCACATGCTTATAAATCAGAGTCGTTGATCTTTTTTGATCTAATGGCTCTTAGATGAAGTGTCAAATTTCAAATTTGACACCGGTGTCAAAGGATCTTACCTCATATATATATATATAGGGGTTTTATGTCCTTTAACATGACAAGAAAAAATTTTCTACACACACAATATTTTGTGGGGCCCGCACTTTTTAAAGCAACAAAAAAAACAAAGGCACGCAAAACGAATCTCTATAACATTACACAATCATTTTTCTTATAACGTAACTCTTAAATATTTGAGCCATTAGATGCAAGCAAATCAATGATCAAGATTTTGTACAAGACTTCTTATTTTTATATTAGTGTAAAAATATGTGCACATATATATATGGGTTTGATGTTTGTCATTTTAAATGACATAAGTTATGTTATCAAAAAAAAAAATGACATCAGATATGTCATTTTAGGAGAGAGATAGACATATGAAATGGAAATCATGGGAGAGAGAAAGTGAGTGGTTTTTTAAATTTAAATTTTAAATAAATAAAATAAAATTATGTGTCTATCTCTCTCTTAAAATGACGTAAGTTTATGTCATTTAAAATGACAATCACTTTTTTTTTCTCACTCTCTCTCTCTCTTTATATATATATATTACACGAGTCTACCAATAATGCATTGCAAATTATATTTTTTATAAATTTAAACTGATTTTTTTTAGAAAAATTTATTCATGGACAAATTACACTTTTTAGTTTAGTTTTTTTTTTTATAAATTAAAGATAAAATTACACTTTTATTTCGTGGGAAATTAAAAACAAAACTATAGATTAACTACTTTAAATATGGAGTTTTGATAAATTACATCTAAAAGATTTATTTTCAATAAAATATTTATTTATAGTTTAAGCATTTAGTAATTTATTATTTTTAATGATTTTTTTTTTTATGCCAAACACGTCATTAAGTTTATTTGTTCTTTTATTAACCAAGTAATTCTTTGTTGAGAAGGAACATTATATGGAACTTATGCTATGTTATAATCAATTTTTTTTTTTTAAATTACTAAATAGTTCGAGTTTGTTCTAAAACTAAAACTTCAAAAAGCAATTTACTAAAAATTTGAAGTTGAAACAGTTAAATATAGTTTAACCAAAATTAAATATGTTTATATCCCAAGGTTCTTTTACATGATATCAGAGTTTTGTAACATGGTTTCAGAGCTTGAGTGACTATAAGGTCACAAGTTCGATCCTCAACGCCCCCACTTTAAAGTGGAATTAAAATAAAAGCACAAAAATGTAAACAAAAAATTGGGCCTGTGCAATATCCACGTTTCTAGCCCAATGGGCTCTCGTGTGAGGGGGTGTGTTGAGATATATAGTCCCACATTGGTTGTATGTGCAACTAATGTGGAGTTTATAAGGCCTTGGACATTCCCACCATTTGAACTAGTTTTTGAGGTGGTGTATCTCAAAGTTCTTTACAATCGCAAAATCAGAATTCATTGACAATACGAATGATGTTTTTGAGGTGGTGTATCCCAAAGTTCTTTACAATCGCAAAATCAGAATTCATTGACAATACGAATGATAATTAAGAAAATGGGATAGGTCATTCACCAAAAAAAAAAAAAAAATGAGATAGGATATTCTACCTACTATTTTTTCTGTCTATTTTTGTATACCACTCTCCAACACCGTTAGATCATAATTTTAAATAAAGAGAAAGATAAATGTTAGTTAAGATTCTGATCTAATGGTATTTTAAAGTAGTAGACAAAGATAGACAGAAAAATGATAAGTAGAATAACATATCCTAAAACAATTAATTTTTAATAAGACATAAAAGCGATGCACGTGTTTTGCCAATGTCTGACATAAATATATAATAATGTAGTTTAATAGCTGAATGTTAATATATATCTTTAGCTTAAAAAGATTTATTCGAGTATAAAGATTTGACTTACGAAAAAAAATTTGTCTTTTAAATTACGCATGTTATGTTTTTTTTTTTTTTTTTTATAACATTAAGGGGCGAAGCCTCATGTTATGTCTGTTTAACTGTTGATAATTATATATTTTGCATTTTCCACAGCTGACAACTTTTAAGTAAGGAAAAAATAAATAAATTTAATATTATAATTATATACGTTTCAAAATACATAATTATAAGCAATTAAAATAGAGAAAAGATATTGTAACAACTAAGTTGTGTTACTACCAATATTACTACCAATCAATCTCATCGTTAGATTGATTATGTTGATCTAACGGTTATATTTATTTTCATCTTTGTTGGGTCATGATTTTCTAAATTTAATACTTTGTATTTATTTCCATCTTTGTATGATTATGATTTTCCATATTTAATACTTTCACTTTAAATATGGGAAATCATAACCATACAAGATGAAAATAAATATAACCATTGAATTAATATAATCGATCTAACGGCGAGATTGATCGATAGTAACATTAATAGTAACATTAATTAATTGTTACAATATCTTACTTCATTAAAATAACACAACTTATTCCTTTAAAATGACAAATCATTTTTCCCTTTAACTTATATATGTTGTCGTCCAACACAAGTTTGCAAGATATAGTTCAGTCTGCCTCGGTTACTTTCAGACAATGATAATGACAAACGACAAAAAATAAGTCTTATCATTGTAACGAGGGAAATGATTGACCATATTCCAAAAGTTTATTTTTAGGATTTTATATTTATCATTTAATATAATATAACTTCACTTTTCTACACACGTTAAAGAGGTGAGGTCCATATATTTTTCTTTCTTTTTCATTATTCCACTTTCTCTCTTCCTTTTAATGTGAAAGTTGAAAACAACACTTACATTATGTTACATAACACTAATAAAACCCTTATTTTTATTTTCCTCGTTTTATTAAGAAAGAAAATTTAAAGCATATAATGCGCTGAACCTTAAAAAAGGAACCGAAATCAAGGTATGCAATCTACAAGGTAAAGGGCAGGGAAAAAATCCAGGGTTAATTTTGATTTGGTTAGCTGATATATCAAGGGGCAGCTGATATATCAAGGGGTAGCTGTTGCATAATTTTCCATTTATAACAGGCTAACGAAGAAAAAGAAAACCCATATAATTTTAGTACTTAGTAGGTTGTAATTCAAATAGAAACCTTTGTTTTCTGCAAATGGAAAAAGCAAAGACAGAAGTTTAATCCATAGAAGGAGATTTATGCCGAGTTAGGATTTTGATTTGAATGATGTTTTTATTTTTTTTAGCAGACTCAATCACTGAGTAAAATGTTTTCATTCACAGAGTAAATTTCAATACTAATCATAACTATATCTAATCATGAAGTTAATTCAATTACTAAATTGTTGAAAAAGACATTTTTGGTATGCAACTATATCAACAAGCCATCACTTTTTTCATCCAAAATTAAAATGAATTATTTTTCACAAGCAAATAAGAAATTTCTAAACTAACCTTTTATAATTAAAAAAAAAGAACTCATGGGCAATCTATTTAATTTTTCAGAGGAAATGTTCCTTGTAACTTGTAAGTAGATGTAATGAGGACTTTGTATAAAAAAAAAATAAAAAAAAATATAGTGAGGTTTTCAATCTAAGATAAGGACTGATGATTTGCTATGCAGACTAAGATAGAGTCACCATCATCAGATGAATCAGGTCGAGGTGCTAAGGGATAAGAGATTAGTCGTGCTGTACGGTGGAGCAAAGGTATGTGTATATGCTTTGGCAAGTGCCGAGTGAGAGGAGGTTCATGCAAAGGCTCAAGGTTGCAAAAAGGCCCTTCCCTCTGTGCGAATGCCGAGTTACCACAGTCATAACTCATAACTCTATGTAAATCCCACACGTCATCCCCGTAATAGGATACGATTGTGTGGAAGGATCAGAGAAATATTTAGCGACAAGGATATTTCTTTCTGTAGCGGTGGGGTAGTGAATTGGGCTGTAAAGTGTAAAGTGAACCCCGGAACACCCATTCAAAATAGTTCCTATGGATTTCAAGTTTTGAAAATGAACCGAACTAAGTAAAACGGAAAGAAATAAAAGCCAGTCAACCAAAACATTTGGATATTAAACGATGGAATAATCATGATAGAATTTCATAGTTATACTTACAATCTATTTTTGTTTATAATCTTTTACAATTATATCTTAATCTTTAATTTTTATATAAGAAGATTATACTTACAAAATATTTTTATTTACATCATCTTATAATCATATTTTAATTATTGATTTTCGTTAATCAAAAATTATATACATTAATTAATTAACGGTTATTGTTTATTATGAATTAATAATTAATTAAAAAATTTGATTTCGATAACCGTTGATTGACAAAAATCAACGGTTAAATATGATAGTAAACAAAAAGATATTGTAAGTATAATATTTCTCTTTTATATATATATATATATATATATATAAAAAGAGAAATATATATGGTTATAAACTTTAATAAAATATATCTATTTAATGTCTGTCAAAAGAAAAATAACAATTTTTTTACAGTACCTCATCATGTAAAATTCTATAAGAATGGATTCACTTAAAAAAACCTAAATTCACTTTACGGATCACTTTGATATACCTAATAAAAGTCATAATTTAAATAATAAAAATTTATAAGTTTTATGAGTCTGTAATTTTTATTATTCAATTTGTAAATTTTAATAATCTGTTATTTTTATTACTTAATTTGTGTCATTAACTATAAAGTGCGTAATTTTGAAAAACATGTAACGTTACTCCCTTTTTATCCCATTTTTGCTATTTTTTCTTTTCTAGAAGTTGATTTTTATTTTTAAAAAAAAGAATGTCATGGTCAATTCAAGCAAGCTAAAGAATTTAGCGGAGACAGAGTCGCCATGTATGACCACTGGAGGAGACTGTCCTAAGTTCCTAACAAATTAATAATAAACCGTAAAATAAAATCAACTTTTTGAAATCAATCCTTCCTTTGTTCGTTCTCTTTCTCTATTTGTTCTCTCTTTCACCGTGTTTGTCTAAAACCTCTCGCTGAGCTGTGCAAAGCCGTAATTCACTAGCTCAGAAAGATCTGCGACTCTCTCTCTGTGCCCGCGCGCGCGCGTGAGTGGTGAATCTCTTTTCGTAAGCGTCATCGTCAGCTTAGGGAAAGAGCATAAGCTGAAGACTTAGAACTGTTTCTTGGTCTGCTGCAGAATCAGGTCACTTCTCATTTTGCTTTTCTTTTTGTATAACTTATAGGGTTTCTAAACAATTTTGAGTTCAGAAGATCATCTGCACGTTTTGTTCTTTTACTTAGGCAAGTGTTTGATTCTCAGATCTGGTGTTTTTGCATTTTCTATAACTTGTTCGGTTGCTGCGAAAATTGTTGCCTGAGGAATGGAATGCTGTACTTTTTTATTTTTTACTTTTTTGCTTTGGAACATTGTAGATGCATTATGTTGAGCTGACGCGGATGATCATTGTTTGGGATGAAAGCATGAGTAGTTTTAGTTCATTTCTGTATAGCTTTTGGAGCAATCTTATAGCAGTTTTGATTGTCATTTGTGAATTGCCTAATTAGATGTTCGTTGATTTTTGAGTCATTGACGTCTTATATTATATGCTGTGATGTGTGTTAACAGAAGTGGTGATGGCAAGTCGACTGAAGGAAGATGAGAAAAATGAACGAATAATTCGAGGTCTTCTCAAACTTACACCGAATAAAAGATGTATTAACTGTAACAGCCTGGTAGGATGCATTTTTTTTTCTTTTTTCTGTTAATCTTTGGTTATTTTAGGAGTAGGATGCTTTTTTTTTCCCCTCTTTGTGAGCACACAAGAATCTCTCTCTCTCTCTCTCTCTATATATATATATATATATATATATATATCAAGCTCATTAATGTTATTGTTAGATTCAGCTGGACTCTGTGATCTAGCGAAAACAACTTTATATGGATTGCCACTTTGTAGAAACAAAATGGTCGGACACTAGGAATTCCTTGCAGCAAGGAAGTCATTAACATTAATGACATGCAGTTTAAATTTGAATGTGCTAGAGTGGATAGGACAAATAGTATGACTTGACCTGTGTATAGCATGTCAACCAATGCAGAATCTTTCATTTGAGTGTCCATGGTTGAATATTAGAGTAGAGTTGGATATTGTAATATTTTCAAGTGAGGCTTTACTCGGTAATAATATTTTGATTTTTGGAGCTTTTATTATTAAACAAGGAACTCCTGTGTCAAATAATTTATGAGCTAGTTCTGCCTTATGCCTTCATTAAAATTGACTTTGGACAAGCTTTTGCAAAATATGTGTGTTTGTGTGTGTATGATAGGAAATTAGGAACCCAAATAGAATTCATAGGTAATGGATCCAGAAACAACGTATATTCCACTATGAAAATTACAACAATGTAACAAAAAAGAAAATGATAGCAGAGCAATATTCTTCAGAGCATATTCTTCAGATAGGCAAGAGAAGTATTTTCAGAGCATGCCTAGCGATCTCATAATGATTGAAAACATATTCTTCTGAGCTCCTATTATTTTTCATAATGCCGAGGAATTCCGCTCTTAATTCCCTTGCAATCTGCTTCCTTACGAAAGTTCGAACAATATGTACTGCATTAGGATTTGCAACGTTCATCATGCCCATTATTTCTCTCTCACTAGGCAGAGTGGTTGCCTTGAGCTTCAGAACCATTGGTTTATTATGTTGCAAATGATCCACTAAGTTGAGCATAAGCTTTTGTTCCAAAATTCACTCAACCTCCCAATGGTTGAATTCATCAAAATCATTAGCCAGTAGGAAAACAGATCACCATCAATTATCAGATTCAAGACAAATAGGAGCAGTGTATCCCCTTAAGTCTTAACACAGATGGAATAGATCTCTCAAATATATCAGAGAACACAAATTCTTCTTCTTTTTTGGTAACTTGAAGGACTGTAGTGTAGACTGGTTTATTTGCTTAGAACAGACTGTCGAGTTTGTTCATGATCAAAAGTCAATAGGAATGTCATTACCTGTTGAATTAAGCAAGCCTACTGCCACAGGTGTTCCATCAACAGAATTTGATGGTATGAAAGTGTTTGCCTTAAATCTGGACAATGCAAAAGTATAAATCTCAACAGTCTAATTCTCATCCACTAACAAGTTTTGGGATTCAAGATCATAGTGCACAATTGGAGGTTTGAGACAATGGAGGTAATTGATCCCTTTAGTTCACATTGATAAGTCACTGATAAGCTTTTCCTTCAAACTCTGAAATCATTTTCAATTCAATACCATAGCTCTCAAATCGAGAGCTCTCATACCATTTCATAGACAAAATGGATCTAGAAACTATGTACATTGCACCGAGTAACTAATATTAGTGAGATATTAATTTTGGTGTCCAAATTAGAATGAAGTAATAGAAAAGAAAATGATAGCAGAGCATTCAAGAAGCTCTGTACTCTTACCCTATTAACATTTAAGTATATTTTTGCTTACCCCCACACTTCCCCTCTCCCTCTTATGCTTCTGCTCTCAAAGCTTCTGTAACAGCTTTTCCCACCAAAGGGCAGGTCACATTCTCAGGACTTGCTTGGGGATCTAACCCCTTACACCCCTTCCTTGAATACACCCTAGTAAAGTGTGGTTTCCTATCAGTGTATAATAATATTTATGAAGAAATTTCAGGAAAAAAAGGATATGCTTAGATTTTCATCCTTGACATACAGAAAAATACTTTCCATTTATATCTAATGTCATGGCTGTAGACTATTAAAATTGCTGGGATGATAACATTACCGGCACATATCAATTAGTCTTTATATTCCATGCAAAAACAGGAACATTAAACGAAGAGATGGATTTGAACCTAAGATAGAATGCTTTTGTTGGGCATGTTTATAGTCATTTTGTAGACTTTTGATTTAAGTGTTGGTAATCTTTACCAGCTTTTAGAGTTTTGTTCTGACTGCATTCTTCTGAACCCAGGTAGAAAATGGTTGAAGATGATATTAAGACAAGTCTGTTACATTAAATCCTTTTTTCCTTCTCTCTTGGCAGGGAACACAATATGTTTGCACAAATTTCTGGACATTTGTTTGCACAAACTGTAGTGGAATACAGTAAGTACTTGCAATCTTTTTGTTATGGTAATTTTAAAACGTATTGGCTTTGAAAATAGATTTTTTTTAAAGTGCATGGAAACCTACTGTACTGCCAGTATTGCTTATTTTTATGGACTTGAGTTTTGCCATGTGCCTTTTGTTTACAGGCTTTCTATGTTTTCCTCATGAGCTTCCTTCTCCATTAACAATGAAGCTTGAAATGTCTGTATACTGAATGTATTTTTCTTGCACTTTTCATGTATTGCTGTATTGTTGTATTTGATGGATTGAACTTCATAAATTGTATACCTACAAAGATCTGATTTTTCTTCACCAAGGATGTCTAAACTATAATTTGTTTAAAATATATTCTGTTGTACTGGAGATAGGGCAATAGTGTTTCCTTTCTTCTCAACTGTTCTCTTTGTTAATTTCCAGCCGGGAATTCACACATCGGGTTAAATCAATTTCAATGGCTAAATTTACTGCACAAGAAGTTAGTGCACTTCAAGAACGAGGAAATCAGGTATGAGTGGTTGTTTGTGCTCAAACCTTCACTATATATCTTCAGTCTCACTGATTTTACATGTTTCTCAAGTTGATTTTTGTTCTATCTAACACTCGCAGCATGCCAAAGAAATTTATTTTAAAGAATGGGATCCACAACGTCATTCTTTACCTGATAGCAGGTAAGTACTTGCCTGTTAGCTTTTATATATTATTGCAGGGTGCTTTATTTTGATCGGCATGTTTGGTGGCAGTAATGTTGACAGGCTTCGGGACTTTATTAAGCATGTTTATGTGGATAGAAGATTCACTGGTGAGAAGACCTTTGACAAACCTCCAAGAGTACAGGTGGTAAAGTGTCTGATGTCCTCTTTGGATTTGCTATTTTAAGTAGATACAAAGGGCCCATTTGGATGGGCTTTTTTTAAAACCAAAAGCTGTTTTTTTTAAGGAAGAAAAAAAGCACTTTTATTACAAAGTCCATTTGGTTGTCTTATTTAAAAAAAAGCAGATGTCACAAAAAAAGCCAAAAACCTGCTTTTTTGGAAGAATTTTAACTTCTAAAAAAAAGCAGAAGTCAAAAGCCAATTTTTTTTTTTAAAATTTAAATATTTTAGCTTTTGTAAAAAACACTTCTAAAATAAGTAAGGCATAAAAAGTCATTTTTTTAACAAGCTGATCCAAATGGGCCCAAAGTAGTGTATTACAATTTCAATTTTAACCTAGACAATGCCATGTAGCACGACATGGATAGGAGGAGACCAAATTTTAAAAATTGCATGGCACATATATATATTTATATATATATAATTGATAATTTAAGGGGGAAATTTCATAATTCTTAATATTATATACGCAAGTTTCAAGATTTACAATATCTTGATATATGTCATATATGCCAAAATGAAATGAAAAAGTTGGGGGAAATGAAATTGGTACCTGACAAAACACCCTTACCTTGTGATACGGCTGCTATGGTTAAACCCAAGGTTTGGAGGGTTTATTCCTGCAGGAATATTCCTTGTAGCGTACACAAGGAGAGCAAAAACAATAATTGATTTCATCGCAAATCAATTATTGATTTGGCCAGTAATTTATTATTGATTTGGTTTGATTTAATTTCCAATTCTGTTGATTTGATTCTGTCATTTACTTTGTTGGCAAATTTGTTTTGTTACCTTTTCTGTAAGGGGGAAACCTCGAATATATAGAGGGATTATGGATCTTTAGAAATAAGGCAAGAATTGATAGTTGAATTTGAGGCAAAGGGAGTGTGCCCGTTGTTAAGAGAGTCTTACTTGTCCCGATACATTGTTCTTTCCCCATTAATAAAAAAGTGAGTCGTTTCGCCTTGTTTTCATTCTTTTTTTTATTAAAATTTGCTTAAAATTTTAAAACAGGCTCAACCTTTGTGTGTTATTTAAAAATAAATAAATTAAATGGTCATGTCTCACTGTGTTGTAATTACATTGGAGCCAAAAAATAATTTTTAAATTGGACACATTCAGACACGTGTCATTAGTATGTCATATTGGATACAGAAAAATTTTCAGTACTCCTGTTAGTACTGATGATTCAATAATCATTTTGCTAAAGTTGGAAAAAGTTTAAGCCATTGGCTGTAATTATTTTAACCACCATTTTATGGTTAATGCAAAGTTATCAAATGCAGATTGCGGTATGCCGCGGCCAACCCTGAAAAACGCTATAGCATTATAGCGGGTTGCGGAAATAGCAGAGTAGATATATGATAGAAATAATGACAAAAAGAAACATTTTTTAAAGGCAGAGATAGCAGAAGTGACAGAGAGACACGAATAGACTAAAAAACCCTTAAATTTTTTCGTTTACACATTTAAATTTAGGACAAAATTGACGTTTTGCCTTATGACAGTAATATGGCCGCAAATACGATCGCAATGGCTGCTATTGCGTTTCAGTGCGGAGTACCTATTTCCTTATTACTTAAAATATGTTCCTATGGACACCGCCCAAAATGCTGTGTCTGAGCTTTATATTTTACCTAGTTCACTGTTGATTTTGCTTTACAATTGGTTAAATGTATCAGTTAAATCTGACTCTATTTTCTCATGCTGCATGTTATACAGGGTGACAAGGATGATTTCTATGAAAACAAGAGGACTGAGACATATCAGGGAGGACCTAAAAGCCCTCCGTATGACGACGCATATCAACGTCGTTACAGTGACAGGTCTAGTCCTGGTGAAAAAAGCCCTGGATATGATCAAGAAAATAGGCAATATGGTGAATACAAGAGGAGCCCTGGTCGTCCTCCAATAATCAATGATTGGCGTCGTGAAGATAGATTTGTGGATGGAAGGAAATATGAAGATCGTAGAATATCTGATGGAGTTAATAAGGTGGAAAGCCAATCTCCTGAGCGAGCCAAAGATCTTGATTCTTCAAGCTTACCTGTGGTCCGACCTGTTAGAGATATTTTGGGAGAAAATGTTGTACCACTTCGAATCAGTGAACCCCCCAAAACAAACAGTGGAAGGGCTGCTGATGGGTCAGCAATCACACAGGTGAAATTATTATCAATGATGTTCTATATGCTTCAACCATCTGTAGCGGATCTAATAGCCTTGCATTTCTTAATTGGGAGTGAAATTTTAGCAAATAGCCAACAAGCTACTGGCACCAGCCGAAGTCTTTAAGACTTGGGTGTGATGTTGTTTTTGGAGGTTTGGTCCTCCACCTTTCCCATTTCCCTACCCCTGGGGTCAGCACCTCCAATGTCACTAAAAAAGAAATTTTAGGAAAAATGTCTTCACGAGTGTTTAAAGATATTGTGATATTTTGTTGCATTTACAATGGATTTTGTTGTTATGAAATGCATTCATTAGTTGTTATGCTTTTAGTTTATCGTGCTTACCATTTATAAGGATTAGGTAGAGAAGAAAGAAAACAGAAAAATAAATACTGATTAAGTTAAAATAATGAGATTGGAATGATTTGATGTGTTTAAAATACAAAGCATTTAAGTCTAGTTCTAGGGAATTACTACTAGTACAAGCCCAAGCCCACTACTACAATGAGACTCTTAACTCTAATCAATTAAGGAAACAACTCCTAAGATTGCTCTTCAGCTAGAGGACCGTTTAATTCTACAATATATTCTTGAGATATTCTAGATATATTCTCAGTTTTCTTGTTTTACATACTGTTTTTTTTTTTTCGCGGTTATTTTTTTTTTCACAGTCATTCTTTTTTCTTTTTCTTTTTTGTGCTGAGAGTTTACAAAAGAGGTCTAGGACATGGTGTGGGGAGAGGAATGGTAAGCTAAAGAGAGGCAAAGCAATCTCGATAGGAATTGAATCTGGGATCACGTAGTCTCCAAAGGGATTTATTGGTACTCCAGCTAAGCCTCTTGAGCTGGGGAATTTGTTTTTATCCTTAAATATGTTTTGAGCTTTTCTGTAAGCATCAAATGAACAATGGGAAGCTACAATTAGCATGAACGCCAACATGTTCATTCATAGTTCTTTTATTAATCTATCTATGTGATGTGGCCCGGTATTTACTTTTTTTTACTATGAATTTATTTTAGGGCTGACCTATCCCTTCCTTCTCCCCCTTTTGCTTTTGTAAGGTTCCCAAAATTGATCTGGTACACAAAATATATTATCATAACTGACTATTTATGATTGCAGAGAACTACATCTTCCAGTAGCTTGGCATCCAGCAATGGAACCCCAGCAGAAGTTAAGCTTGAGACTACTAAGAGCCTTATTGATTTTGATGATGATCCTGAACCACCTGTTGCACCTGCAATTCCTCAAGCCCAACAAACTACTGTGGCTCAACTTGTTGTGATGCCAGCAAATTCCGGTGATAATAATTGGGCCTCTTTTGATGTTGCTCTTGATGCAAAAACATCTCAGGGTCCTTTAAATGTAAATCCACTAGAATCTGTGTTGTCCCAATTGTTAGTACCAGAACCTTTACCTGCTCATGTTTCTGGAGCCCAAGGTGGTCCTGTTCTTTCAACAGTTATTCCTGGTAGCAGTGTGACAACATTGCCTAGAATCAATGACTCATTCATTTCACTTGCAGGGCCTGTGACAGGATCAGCTTTTACTGCTACTGCTGCTGGAGCTCCAACTATTAGCAGCTTCTCAACATTCCCAGCCAGTGATGCTTCAGTAACATCTTCTGGATTAACAATGGCTTCACCTCTCAGTAATGCAGGACAGTGGACCAGTTTGCAGTATCAGCAACCTTTGTTCACGGCTACTGTTAGTCAGCCTACTATTCAACAATCTACACGTCCAGTAGGTGGAGCTTCGAATAATCAGGTTCTTCTTATTTAGTAGTCTTCTCATATGTTGTCTATTAATTCAGATGCAATGTTTGTTCACCCTTTCCGGAACTATCTTGCAGCCCTGGAATATAACTTCTGTACCCGCGGTACAGGGGCATCCAAGCACACAAATGCCACATGCATCCCACCATGTTGCAACACCTGCCAATGAGGCTAAATACAGTGTTGTTTCACAACCTTCTAGTGTAGACATGAATTCGAGTGGAAGAAATGAACTTCCTGAGGTATTTTTTATTCCTAATTCTACTTCATAAAGCATCTATACTACGAACATGCTTGTGTCTGTCTATTGTTTATCTCAGGGTTAGTTGTGATTTCTGCAGGATCTATTCACTGTAAAATTTTCATCCTTCCCTGCTCCAGGTTGGCAAATGAGACAACCACCTGGCATGGGTATCTCAATTCAATATAATAATGTGGCGGTACTGTTACAATCCAAAATTATTGGCTTACAAGTTACCTGAATCTGTGGCTACTGGCTAGTCCAATAGTATGATGCATTTCTAATAAATTTCTTCCCAATGTTACAGCCCATGCCAAATTTTCCGCAACCATCACAATCAACTAATCCATTTGATGTCAGCAATGAACCAATTCCAGTTCAAGCCCCAACTGTATGTGACTTTCATTGATATACTAGTGTGCAATATTCACAGTAATAGTTTGTACAATTTTGTGGAGGTCATGTGTGTGAGTATTGTATTAAACCATTAGTATTTAATATTGCTGACTGGGGATTTGGCTCTTCTAAAGTGCATGATGTGCTTTATAGAGGAAAGTCTTGGTCTCTCACACTTATAGGGAAGGAAACATGCTTGCAGATTGGTTAGCATCTTTTGCACATCACTTTGATGACTGGGATACACACTTTTTCATGGAGCCTCCAGTGGCTTGTAGACATCTTGTAGCTAGAGATTCTATGGGCATCAGTAGCCCTCGCCTATGTAGGCTGTAGTTTGTTTTTCTTTCCCTCTGTCTTCAAAAAAAGAGAGAGGAAAGTTCTGTTTTTACAGCCACTGGTGGAAGATAACGACATTGTTTGGATTTTGTCCACTATTGAGTTATTAACTTATAAGTTATTTTTACATCATTAATTACTAAAGTGTGCTTTACTTCCTGAAGTTTGCATCTTGCTTAGAGGAGCCTTATATATTAATAGGAATGGTGGTTATCTGGTAATGCTGGAAAATATTGTCTTTGTTTTATTTTGATCATCTGGCATTGAAAAAGCTTGAATGTTGAAGGATGCCATGCTGACTTTCTAATATGTTAATTCAGTAGTTAATTCAAACTGCAGCCAAATGTTAAGAAAATAGATCATAGCATAATCTTCACCCAAATTTCATCAGTTAGTTGCACATTTTGGTTGATGCTCTTGTGGTTGGTGTTCCTTGGTTCCAGTTTCCTTCCATGTCATCTTTGCAAGGTGCTCTGCCTAGGTTAACACCTTCAGCCACAATGCATCCTTCAAACATGGCTAATCTATCTCTTGCCTGGAATCCATCCTCATCATCATCATATGTACCTGTTCTGCCTCCACAAGCACAAACTCTTGCATCAGCAATGGGACCAGGTATACCTTTTACCATTTCCTCAATCAATTATTTTATGCTATAAGGTTATTTGCTCTTTATCTGTATCCTGAATCATGTAAATATCTCAGGGGCATACATGGGGCTGCAAATGCCAACTAACATGCCCATGCCAAGGTAACTAACTATTCCTTAGTACTAATAATATTTTCTGTTTGCATAGGCTGTTTTAGGTTAGGTTATGTCTTTACTGTTGGAACTCATCTTTCGGGTTTGATCATTTCGATACTATCCCATGTTGTCATGTCATGCTATGTATCATGAAACTTGTTATATACTAGGGACAGAGATGTCTAGTCAAGAGACTAGTATATTAATTAGAGGTGGCAAAGCGGGTGGCCCGCCTCGCCTTTGAAGGTGGGCTAGAAAACTCAGCCCGCCCTGCCCCGTTTGGGCTGGTTGCCTGCCGGGCCAATGTTGTCATGTCATGCTATGTATCATGAAACTTGTTATATACTAGGGACAGAGATGTCTAGTCAAGAGACTAGTATATTAATTAAAGGTGGCAAAGCGGGTGGCCCGCCTCGCCTTTGAAGGTGGGCTAGAAAACTCAGCCCGCCCTGCCCCGTTTGGGCTGGTTGCCTGCCGGGCCAATGACTTTTTACACTAAATAAATAAATAAAAATTTCGGCCCGGGCAGGTTGGCTGGCGGCGAGTTTGAAAAACTCAGCCTACCCCTCCTCGTTTGGAGGGTGGGTCGAGCCCGTTTTGCCACCTCTAATATTAATCTTGGATGTAGGTTCTCTCTCAGATATCTATGGATTAGATATCTTTGAGTGTAGCAGATCACTGTGTACTGAAAATAACGGCGTTTGCCAAAGGGCTTGTATGTGTACACAGTGATAGTATAACAGTAAAGAGAGAATAAGTGTTCATACATGTAGACTTTACCTCTTATTTATAGGATTTACCTGTAGGTATTGGAATTTTGGACCTTTGGTTCCTCCTCTGAAAGCCCACGTCCAGGTTCATTACTGTCGTATTAGGATTAGTATCTTGGATTGATACTTTCTTTTAATTATATTAGTTTCCTCTTTCTACTGTCCATTATTGGGTTTTATAATGCGGGCCTAACAAAACTCCATTAATAAAGTGAAGCCTTTAATCATATATATAAACACTCAAACTTTAGTATCTCATTCCGTAGGTGCACAAGTGTTGTTTCTTGGGCAGGCTGACATTAGGTGCGATTACTGGGAACTTGTTTGAACAATGATGTCAAAATAACTATGAGAGAATAATATGTATTTAAGAAATTATTTCAACAACACAAGCAATTCCATGAAATGTACCCAAAAAATAGAGATATGCGAAAACATGAAGTTAAAGCTTACCGTACGAAAACATATGAATGCAAGAAGGAAAAATCCGAGCCCAGTGTTTGACATTATGTACTTAAGACAATTTGTCCTCTCTATGGTGCCCAAGAATAGATGACAATTGTCTTCTATTATAGAATGGATTACCTATGTTTGTTTATGGAACTTTCGAACAAACAGCACCGGTGGACACAACCTCCGTTTGAACTATCGCATAGAATGAATGCAAAGATTTCAGAAAACATTTTGGTAGAGTTTCGGTGAAGGAGGGAAATCAGAAAAGTAACTAGTTTATTTTGATTTCCTTCCATATTTATAAATCATGACTAGCAGTAATGAATGGTGCTTGTTCGGCGGTGAATAGTTGTGTTTGTTTGATAGTAAAAAGACACATCTCTTCGTACTCAACTTCTTATTTATAACACTTAAATTCTATTCAGAATTCTAACATTACTTGTCATGATGTATGAAGATTCTGTGCAAGGGACAATTTATTGTGTTTGTATGGATAGAGTCGATAATTATTGATTGTGGTTCTCCATCAACTACCTTGCCACTTAGAGATTTATAACTGAATATGTAGGCATCAAGGAATCGGGGATTTTGGTACTGAGGGAGCTGCTTTTGGCTTCTCAAATCCAGATCAGCAGCTGACTGGTAAATTGTCAACCCGTGTCACCCCAAACCCCTTCCCCGCAGGAGGGAACCCATTCGGATGATGAAGATTTTGTCTACTCGTACTCTTTTAAGTATAGCATCAACTTGTTGCACCCTGTACAAATATGGTTGAAGCTGCTTCTATCGTCTGTTATCCAAGCGAAATACTCGAGTATATATTGAGAAATTTATGGTCGGTCAACCATAGGTTCGAAATCAAATATTTGTACTTTCCCTTGTAAATTGTTTATTGCTGTAGGAAAGATGAACGCAAAATCCGCCTTCCAACGGGAGGGGATCTTTGGAGGACTGAGATAATGTGATGATGATTATGAACGGGGTGCATAGAGCCAGCCACGTGTTCATTTGCAATTGTATGGTCGATTGGGTAAAGATGTTTTTTTTTTTTTTGGTGCCGCTAGTTGTATTATTATTTTTTCGATTTTTCTATATTGTATATTTGTATTGTTTTGTAATCACATAATTTTGGTAAGGGCTTTATTCGTGGAAATACATGAAACACAATGTTAAATTATTTGAAGTTCGAGTTTTATGGCACTATCTATTTACTGAGATTATTTAACAGTGGTTAATTTTTTTCTTTTATATCCCACCGTAGCCGTATAAATAGACCAGACAATTTACCCGTGTTGTGGACCCCAAAAAGTTTACTTTACAATTAGGTCACAGGTTTACTGTAAGAGTAAGTTTACACCGTGGGTTAAATTTGACAGGATGAACATCAATCATTTAAACCAACCGTTGATACATTTAGCTCTTAATTAGTACACTTCAACTTATGTTCACTTGTAAGTAAATAGTGGCAGCAAAAACAAAAGCCACATCTTATTGAGTGAAAACGGCTATAGACCAAACGATTATGTGTTTTTGTTAAAATTTTAAGTTTTATAAAAGTTATTTAAATTTATGTGTTTTGGTTAAAATTTTAAGTTTTAGAAAAGTTATTTAAATTTAGGGATATTTGTTGAATAGTTTCTAAGTTTTTCTTGATTTGGCTATCCCACGACTATTCTTTCAACACTACCCATACTTTCTATTTTAGAAAAAGTTCTTTAAATTAAGCGTTTATTTTTAAAGTGGGAAGTAAAAGTATACTTGCTAAATTTAATTTAAAATGTATTATGATCATAATGTATTAAATAATTAAAATGAAAAATTATCTTTTCCTTATTCATTTTTTTTATCATTTTTTATGAAAAAATAAAAATAAAATCAATTTAGGGAAGCTTTGTATGTTATATTTTTTTGCAGGGTCTCAATTTGAAGTAAAAAAGTGTATGCATACCTGCTCCTAACAAAACCGGTAATCCCATCACTTCTTCAAGTCCATTATCTCTGGAAAAAAAAAAACAAGGGAAAAGTTTACCAATACTCCTGTGATTTACTCCAGAATCATTTATGCCCCTGTAGTTTTTTTCTTATCACATATTCTCCTGTGGTTTGTAAAAAAGTATGTTTTTTTACCACATATGCCCCTGTGATTTCTTGACATAAATGATTCTGGAATAAATCACAAGAGCATGGCTGAACTTTTCCCAAAAAAGCAAACCACATCAGATCCGAGAAATCCAGTTCTGATCGTAAATACCTATGCTCTCTGATGACTTTGCGAGATGGCATGTTCAATGGGAACGGAGAGAACTACAAGTTGGACCAAGCTTGGAAATGCCTGCTGTCAATTAATATAATCAGAGTTCGTAGGTTTTGCACGAAAACCCCTTTCCATTAGAAAACACCCCCAAACAATAAATGCATGCCCTCTTATTGTAGTGGAGTCAGCACCAAAACCTCTATCATTGAGACTAGTAATTCGAAAAACTATGAATGAAAATCTAATCAGAATCTATTAAATCATTTTGAATTACATTATGCTCTTTACACATGTACATGTAAAAAGTGTAATTTTCTCTTTCTAACCCCTTGTATGGAGCGAAAGGACTGTATATCTTCATGAGGAAATAGAACAAATCCAACCAGTATATGTCCATTTGTGCTAGAACCATTGCTTCTGTCCAGTGTCCACTAAACAAGAGTCATATCTTCTGCCTGAAAATTTCCAGGATGTTGCAATTGCAATTCTTTTTCCTATCTGGCAGAGCAGGAGGAGTCCACTACATGTGCGGCTGAGATATTGGACAATCCTCAATAAAATATCAAAACTAGAATGCTTACGTGTCGTACGTTCTCAAGTAGAATCAGTATGTCTGCTCTTCCATATGATTGGAGCTACCAGCATCCACACTGTGAAAAGATATAAACTCCGTTTAGTTGCGCTTCAGTCGTTCAAGAATTATACAGAAAGTGTTGCTAAACCTCTGTTTATCTCAGTTTATACTATATCAAGAGTCTTCATTATGCTTAGATAAAAGTCAGATCTTCACGCTAGACTCGGTTTTACAACAATTACTTACAATAAACACAGACTGCCAACCATTCATTTACTATTCTGACCCAGGTGCTCGTCCAGCCTACGTCAATTGTCCATCTGCAGAAGATTTAAGGTGCATCTCATGAACTTGCTATGACATTTATAAAAGTGTGAAAGAAAGACAGAATCAACTTCAAATTAACTTGCTACTAGCACTATAACTGAGAAACTGAAAAAAAAAATAAAAAAAATTGATTTCAGTAACAACATTTTCGAGGTGGCACTGCTAGGTGCTGCCTACTATATTATTAGCTTGATAAAGAACTTGGTGTCTCGAATCCAGAATGATAGTGTCATGCAAGTAAGACAACTGTTTGGAGCACCTGATAAGGAAGATAGGATATGATAACTTATCATATCCTACTTTTATCTCTTATTTGGTGGGTCATTAGGATATGATTAGCTTATCCTATTGCCTCATTTTATTCTATCCAATACATGATTTCTTATCCTATGGGGAGAGCTGGGTTAGGATTCAACATGATAGGATAGCAATATTTAATACCCAATATATCTTCACGTTACCCACTATCCTCACTCTACCCAATATATTTGTATTTATTGCATTATTTTTTATTTTTTATTTTTCTTTCTCTTTTTACATAATCTTATCAGATTCCTAATCAGGTGCTTATCAAACACAGGATATGATATAGGTTTATCAGCCTCATATCATATCCTACCCTTATCAGCTTCATATCATATCCTACCCTTATCCTATCCTGTCCACCAAACGAGCTTTAAAAGTTCTTGTTCGGTGGCATATGGATTTGTATATAATCATTAGACGATTAACAACTGGAAATGCATTTTCTTTCTTTGTGTAAACACCCGATTTGACGGGGTTCACTTTTACTTTATTTAAAAAATAATAAAAATGAAAAGAATATAAAATAAAATAAAAAAATAATTGTTTGATCATAAGAGGGGAAAAAAACCATACACTTGGGCTTAATACTAAATATATAACCTGTGTTGCTATTGTCCCTCATCACTTCACCTTTAATTTTTTTTTTTATTACAACTATATAGGCCTTTTTAATGAGCAAACGCATAGGATAAGTTCCGATGAAGGAGTAAGGCTTCTTTGATGTGGACTTAGAAATGCTTCAAAGTCAATCAGAAGTTTATCTCTTTCTTATCTTACGGGGGACTAGAAAAAACAATAGCATAGAATGATGACATGATATGGGCCAAAACAGGAGAGGAAGGGCCCTTACTTTCTCATAGAATGATGACTGTTCCATCCAATCAATAGCATAGCAAAGTACATTGCTCCTGTGGCAAAAACAAAATGGAAGAAGCCATAACCATATGGTACACTATCCTCTGCTGGCGTGTCAACTTTCCTGAACTGCAGGGATCTGTCAGATATGTATTGGAGAACCTAAAATTAAAATTCAAGCTCAACTCAGAGTTTGCAACTAACCTGGAAACATTGGGAATCTATGCCTGTTGAAAATGTTGCAATAACGATTGCCAGTATTGCAACGATAAAGCTCTGCCAACAAAAGCCATCGTCACACGTCAACCAACAATGACCGTAAAGAACCTTGGGATACACCACCCCAAAAGCTAGCTCAAAAGGTGAAAGTGCCCAAAGCCACATTAGTTGCACATACAACTAATGTGGGACTATATATCTCAACAATGACAAAAGTTATTGGAATAATGTATTTCAAAGAATCGAAAATTAGTTACCAAAGCCAACTTTAAGAAGATATTATGATATGAAAATTAAAAGGCGAAAGATATTTTGTCATAAAAGGAGCTTAAATATTTTCATAATAGGCAAGAAACAGTGAATTATATTTTTGGGAACAGTTTCAATGTTTCATGACATCTATTAAATGGATAGATGTACATGAAAATTGGGCTAGAGACTCAGGCTCAAATATGCAATGGACATATATATATATATATGCAAGTTCACAACTATCATGCTTAAAGAGCTGTTCTAAACATTTAAAGTTTTAGTTAAACAAAAATATTACAATGATGCTTAGCCAGTCTGTTTTGGTAGCAGAGTCTGACTTCCTGATGCAGTTTTCTCCAGCAGGTTCGCTGCATACAAAAATATACTCCAAAGCTCAAATTCAATAGAAATGAAAGCTCAGAGGGGTTGCATAAGCAATAAAGTAAACGAACAGAAATCAGAAGAAGATACAGATGCTTGTCTTTTTGTTTTGTTTTACATCCATGCTAGGAGGAGCCCATGGCAAAGGACCGTGGGCCTGACACAGTGGCAGACCCAGAAAATATTATTTATGTCCGCACATTTAATGACGGCGGTTTTGGGGCAGCGCCTCCGAAAATTTTTATTAAAGAAAAAAAGCTTTTCACATAGATTAGTAAATGTAAAGAACCTTAGGATACACCACCTTAAAAGCTAGCTCAAAGGGTGGGAGTGCCCAAGGCCTTATAAACTCCACATTAGTTGCACATACAACCAATGTGGGACTATATATCTCAACACGCCCCCTCACACGAGAGCCCTTTGGGCTTGAAGCGTGGACAATGTAACAGGCCCAGCCTACCTGTGCTAAGAAACTCCACAAGAGAAAGTGGGGGACGGCGAGGCTCTGATACCATGTAAAGAACCTTGGGATACACCACCCCAAAAGCTAGCTCAAAGGATGGGAGTGCCCAAGGCCTTATAAACTCCACATTAGTTGCACATACAACCAATGTGGGACTATATATATCAACAGTAAACTTGGAATATTTGTAAAAAAGTATAATTATCATAGGCATATATTGACCATAGGCATTCAACTGAATATAGCCATTAACTGATTACCTATCCTACGTAGAAATAAGTTTTTTTCTTTATAAGGATCATAGATCCTTATCACAAAGGCAGTGGTATTTCCGCACTAGACTTGTTGGGATGAAAGTCAGGTCACAGCTTACAGCCGCCATTTATAAAAAACAATTAAGGTTATCCAATGCTGCTAAATTGACTCACTCTACTACTATGTTTAAAAAAAAAACAAAATCTCAGAAGTTTATGTCCGCACTTACGGACAAAGGCGACCAAACAGGTCTGCCACTGGCCTGA